AGTTAGCCCGAGTTAAGCAGCAAGCATCTGGGCCTGGATTTGAACCCAAGTTAAATTCTAAATTCTAAAATCTGGATTTAGGGGCACCTGGGTGGCTCAGTGGGTTAAGCCTCTGTCTTCTGCTCAGGTCATGATCTCAGGGTCCTGGGATCAAGTCCCACGTCGGGCTCTCTACTCGGCGGGGAGCCATCTTCCTCCTCTCTCTCTCTCTGCCCGCCTCTCTGCCTACTTGTGATCTCTCTCTGTCAAATAAATACATAAAATCTTTTTTAAAAAATCTGGATTTAACCCTGTTAAATTCTAAAAGCTCCTGTCATCACTACTGCCTCCCCATTGGTGTAAGGACCCTGCATAGCACCAAGCCCATGGGAGCTGCTATTTTTATTAATGTAACTGATTTTACAGGCTCTGGAAATGGAAGGGCATTTTAGAGTTTCAAGGGCTCTAGAGAGGGAGGAATGAGGCGGGAAAGTTCTTTAAAGTCTTTACTTTTCTTTACCCCCTCCCTTCATTAACTACTCTATGGGCAGCCACACCAGGTCCTTTCCCATGGGAAATAAGCCGTATTTTGTAGCACAGCTGTAAGTTGTGAATTATTCCTTCCCATTCGAAGCTGGGTGACAATATACGCTCATTCTGACCCAGCACTGAATTGTAAATTGTCGTCACTCACTTTTTTGTATAAGCAGAAGTGTCCTAATCGTGGTTATTCGGTAACTTTCAGGATCTTAAGAAAATCTTTAAAAAAGAGAGAGAAAAAACAAAACCCAACCCAGCCCTGCTTTTACAAACTCCTTTGGAGCTAGCTCAGTGATAAAGCCTTCCCTCCTCGCTGTGTCAGCTTTCAGGAATTCTCTGGGTTGTGTAACCCAAGCAACTTGTTATCTTTGCAGCTTAAAGGCTGACTTGGAAGTTCAGACTGTCAACTATTTAAAGAGAATGAAAGTCCTCACTCTACTATTTTAATTAACTTCTAGAGAGCAAGGTTTCCTACTGGTTATGATAATGTTCACTTAAAATACTCTTAAGGAAACAGGGCAGGAAGCTAAGTAAGGAGAGGGGGGACTGCTATTTTTCGAGGCATTCCAGGAAGAGTTCGAGCAGAGCCATGAAGGGAAAATACTACTGAGTTCCTGGAGAACCGAAAAGAGAGGCATGAACAGATATTAAGGAGTATAAATAGCAGAGTATGGGAAATAAAAATACATAATACAGATTACGTAGAACCTTGATGCCAGGTTAGGGTGTTGGAGATGGTGGGTCTGTACAACGAGAACCTGGAACAAAACCCATCACCTTTAATGTCTTGGGAAGATAACTGGGGTTCTGTGGAGGTCACTGTGAGGGATGGCACCAGAAAAGATCTGGAAGCTCACTGACTGTGTGGCATTGTTTCTTTGGGCCTGATTTTCCATCTGTTAATTTGTTCAATGGCAGTGATAACATTTGTGGTGGGGACTGAATGGAATCATGCATGGACTTTGAAAATAATGTCATCGAAAGCACTCCCACAAACTACACACACATAGCGCTTGGTGGGGGTGTGTGGAGGGGAATGAGGGCTGAGACAGCAAGTCTGCTAAAGAGAAGGAAAGGGGCACCTGGGTGGCTAAGAGGGTTGAGCCTCTGCCTTCGGCTCAGGTCATGGTCTCATGGTTTCATGATCTCATGTTGTCAGGGTCCTAGGATCAAGCCCCACATCGGGCTCTCTGCTCAGCAGGGAGTCTGTTTCCCCCCTCTCTCTCTGCCTGCCTCTCTGCCTGCTTGTGTTCTCTCTCTGTCAAATAAATAAATAAATAAATAAATAAATAAATAAATAAAATCTTTAAAAAAAAAAAACCAAAGAGAAGGAAAGAAAGGAGCTGACTGACAGAGAAGATGGGTGGGAGAGAGAAGGGGAAACCTCGGAGGTGATCCAAGAGAAAAAGGTGATGTCATACAAGGAGAGTCAGGGAAGCTCTAGGGGCTGGGGTGCTGCTGGCTTCAGCTTTAGAAATGCTACATTTGAGAAACAGGGAGATATTTCCAAGGAGTGGGTGGACCAGAGCAGCCTTAGGAAGTAGGTCTTAATCATTGTTTTAATTGAGAAAGCCAGGTTGACCTGGTCTTAGAAGGTATTCAGGGACATTTTTTGAGGCTTAAACCTCAGAGTGTCAACTCAATGAAGTTTTAAAAGCCAAGGGCTGCAGCCACCAGCGTGTGAGCCAACAGAAAAGTGGGATTCAGAACAGCCACTGAGGTAATTCTAGATAGAAAGCCAAGCTCCCTGGAAGGAAATGCCCTAGCCTAGGTTTCTCGGTTTCCTCAGTACCTCCACTGAGGCTGACACATTTTAGGCATTTGGTGGGCGCTACTGGATGAAGCTATGAACTCTGTAGAATTTTCATGTAGTGGTATCAAGAATATGGAAACTTCACTTTAGTACTTTGTAATTTTGCCTCCTTAAGGAACTTTCCTCTGCTTAATCCCACATCATCAAAATCCCAAGTACACCAAGATGTTCATCACAGCATTATTTATGTATCAGTAAAAACTGGAAAACAACTCATATTTGAAATGTCAGGCAGGTGGTAAGTCATTCCACTAATATGATGAAATAATAAGGTGGGGACTGTAGCAACTGTTCAAAGCATTTTGCAAATATTAAATCATTTAATGTTCATAGCAATGCTATGGGGCGTTTACTATTAAGGTAAATTCCATTCTACAGATGAGGAAGTTGAGGGCTTGGGCAGTTTAAATAACCTGCTCAAGATTATACAGGTAATAAGTAGCAGAACTGGGATCTGAGCAAGGCTGTCTGGTTCTAGTATCTTTGCTCTAACCCATACACAATGTTGCCTCATAGTATTTTCTTTTTCTTAAATTAGTTCTGTAACAGAAGTCTGGAGGAAACATATATTCTCCCTGTTCACAAGAGGAGATGATCACATCCCAGGGAGGGGAGTGGGTGGTAGCCAGGAATCAAAGTTCTGCCTCATTATAAACCTAATGACAAGAGCTCACAGCTCCTTCTTCTTGCTTGCTAGCAAAACAACTGGTAACCTACAAAGTCATTCCACATCATTCTTCTCCTGAAAACCACCCTGCTGAGTTGCTATTTTCATGAATCCCAATTCACAGACCAGGAGGCTGAGGCCCAGAAAGGACAAATGGCTCACTTAGAGGTCACATTGCTAGTTTCTTCCCACCCAGGCTCAAGTTCCTTCTACTGTTCAGTGAGGTTTAGACAATTGCAAAAAGTGTGCTCCAACTAAATAGCCTAGTCATCACTCAGAGTATTGGTTTGGGCTTGGCCAGACTAGCTCAACAACCCTGAAGTCTTAGGGCTAAAAAGTCTGGACTACCTGAGGACTTTCTCTTCAGAGCCTTCAGTCATAGGCAAGAGATCTACCCTAAAGAAGGTCTGGGATATCAACCTTTCTCTTCAGTTTTTTCCCTTAACACACTACTCATCTTCTTCAGACCCACCTTCGTCCCAACAGTCTCTTCAGAGGTTGCCAAGAGACAGGACAGGGTGATGATACTGAGGAGGGCAATGATGATACTAGAACAACTGATAATATTAGCTGTAGTGATGGAGAGCTTGCTGTGTGCCAGAAACTTCCTTGGGCAATGTTTACATACATTTGATCTCCCACTCTATGCCCATTAATCTAAGGGGTAGGTGCCATTCTCCTGATGAGGATATGAGGCTTAGAGAGTGTCCATCACATGGCTGGCGGGGAGGAAATGGGGAAGGAAGGGTTAGCAGTTCACAGACTGCAGAGAGTGAGCTTTTGGCCCCAAAACCCTCATTTATAAATCAACTTCAGACTCATCCCCCAACATGATGGCATTCCTCGCATATCTGATCTTCTTAGGAAATAGGGCTCCTCTGAGAAAGCCAAGAGCAGAGAACACAGCAGCTGGATGTCAAGGACCTAGGAACTCATTTAGCCTCCTTTTATCCCAACATTTTCTTTTAATTAAAAAAAAATGGTGTTTATAGATTTTTGATTCCTTCAAAGCGTACTTCCTAACTTAAACACAAAATTTAAAAAACAACACAGCACAAAACAAAGCTAATGGATGTGGTGAGCAGATCGTGGTGTTCTGTGGGCTCCTCAGTCATTCTGCCAAACTGAACGGGCAGGTGAGAGGATGTGGGCTTTCCGAGGTGAAGGAGTGCGCCCTGACTGGATGTTTCCAGGCACGGAAGGCATTATTCGGTTATCGGTCTGTTAAGGAGCGTCCTGTTCAAAACCTTGGCTGGGAACGAGTCCTAGGTCATCTGTAAATCATCTACGGGTAGAGTTTACCAGGAGTGGAACATTAACATGGTGGAGGTGAGGCTTTCAATGGGTCATTGGCCTGTGGGCTGATTCTAATTGGAGGCCTTGCCTTTACCTTCTAACCATTTCGATTTCTCCGACTCCAACTACTGCATTAAAAGGGCAGCAAGGAGCAGGTAGAGCATGAATTCAAACATAAACACTCTGATGAGGCGGCCAGTTAGGCAGTTAGAACCAGTAAGTGTCCCAGTGGCAACAATACCACTGTTAGGTTAAGTGTCTGAAGGGGGAGGCCCCTTCAGGGCAGCTGCAGAAAGAAATCCCCTATTAATCCCTTGACTAAGCAGCTGATCGTTTATCTTTTTGTGCATATGTTATAACTCTTCCAACACAGGATTATTTATAAATTTTTAAAAGTCAGCACGGCTACCAAAGCTCTTTAGGGATTTCTCTGTCTTGCTAACCGATAACAGAAAAATAGAACTTTGGAGGGCTTCTGTTTACAATTCACTGTCACTCTGGCTTGAAAAGTTCTAAGAAAGCTTCCTTGCTGGATTCATTCACAAAAAGAATGGGTCCCTATTTGAAGAGGGAAGAGATCTCAGTCTCCCGCCTTGAGATCTACTTTCTTTTGAGTTTGCATCCATTGTTATTTAAAGTAATGGCATTCAGCTAGGGTTCCCCAAGGGTTATTTTGCATAGTAATATCACAAAAGGAACCATTACCTGGCATAATCCCCTTTGGCTTCCTGAAATAAAAAAAAAAAACAAAGATAGATGATCAATATGTATTTATGTTAATGAAGCAAATGAATTTCACTTGCGGTCACGTTTCTCTCTTAAAGTGACTGAGTTTTGTTTCTGAAGAGTGTCCACGAGGAACCTTCTCTAGGGCCACAGAGAAGAATGTGGCATTGGTGAGAGGATGCATTAGTAGCCATTAGACACTTCTTATTCTTCACAGAAGAGACAAATATATCCGAAAAAGCACAGATGATTAGGTCTTCTGTTAGGGCTCTAAGATCACGTGATAAATGCTTGTCTATTCAAGCAGCACACTTTTTAGTCTGGACACAGACCTATTAAACTGGACATAGGTGAATCAACGCACACTACTTGTTTTCTCTTTTTAAACAAGCACAGGAACACGCTTTGTTTCTCAGCTACTAGTGTCTTTAAGCATTAAGGGGTTCTCACACTCGACCTCAAGAAAATGTATACAAAAGTTACCTCATTTAAATGAAAATTACAGCTGTTGTAACAATCGCGGCTTCCCAAATTCAACTATTCCAGAGCTCCTTTCCAGAAGTACAGTCTAAATTCTTTTCCCCCGGAGCAGTCTAAATTTCATTTTGCTTTGGGACATAAAATATCGCACTATAGCTCATGCAGATTAGGCTAAAACCGAAAACGGCGACTCACGTTTGTCACGGGCAAACAACCAGCTGGCTTAAAAATCTATCAGCCGCTGGCCCCACGCGAAAGTTTCAGAGTTGTGGGCAGTTCACAAACCAACAAACAGAGAGGCGCAGACAAGAGGCAGCCGGCCGGATTCTTACCTGTAACACAAGCGCGGCTAACTTGAAGATGGTTTCACTGTCCGCTTCGATTTGCCCCTGTCGGGGGAAAAGAAAAGCATCACTGAACACAGGCTGCCCTAGGTTGTAGCAAATGGCTGTGGAGTTGGGGAAGCTGTCACAGCTTGGCACCTCCAGTTTACAATCAAACGCAGAGCATACCATTATAGGGGAAAGGGAGGGGGGCGTGGAGGGGCGCATCCAGGGTTCAGGGGAAGCCGTAGCGTGTGTGTGTGTGTGTGTGTACATGCACATTTTAATTAGCTGTGGGGAATTTTGTTTAGAGAGCAGTATTCTAGAAAAACGCAAATGTCTTCGAGGCTGAAAATTCAGACAACTTCTCAATGCATAAATTTCATCCCTACAGGTTCATTTTTAAGCTCTGAAGATTTTCTTAGATGGTTTGTTCTGTGTGTTCCTGAGATTTTTTTTTTCTGTGTCACCACATTTTTTTTTTTTTTTTTTTGGTATACACACAGTGCAACTATTATTAAAAATTTAAATTTATTTCTGGGACGCCTGGGTGGCTCAGTTGGTTAAGCAGCTGCCTTCGGCTCAGGTTGTGATCCCAGCGTCCTGGGATCGAGTCCCACATCGGGCTCCTTGCTTGTCGGGGAGCCTGCTTCTCCCTCTGCCTCTGCCTGCCATTCTGTCTGCCTGTGCTCGCTCTCTCTCCCTCTCTCTCTCTGACAGATAAATAAATAAAAATCTAAAAAAAAAATTTAAATTTATTTCTGAATCAGTGACACATTGTTGAATTAATATTTATACATTTAGAGGTAAAATGTAAAGCCTTAAGAATCAGCTACATCACATACTTAGAGAAGACCAAAATTCTGTTCCATTTTGCTGAAGTTTGATGAACTCTATCATTTTACCCATTATTTTATTTTTTTTTGTCCTTTAAGATCCCTCCCAACCCAAAAGGAGGAATTCTGGGCTTTGGAAAACAGGAATGCTTTCTCAGTACCCTGGTAGCGAAGCATAAGTGTATGTGTGGAGGGAATACTGCCGCAATAATATTCACATATGCTTTCATTTATTTTGTTAAATATGATCATATATGTTAATACCATTACCACATCATATAATATATTACCACAATGAATGGTAGAAAGGGATCTTCATTTTAAAAAAATCGTAAAAATACTTTGGTGTAAGCATTAACACACACTAGAACAATTCCATACAACCTTGCTTAAGTGTTGTATAATTAGTACTTGAAAGTACAGAGTCTTTGAGATTATGGAACTCATGAGCCTAGAAATTGCCCTGAATTCTTTATTTCTCCCTTCTACCTGTTGAATTCGGGCTGAGGAGTTTTTATAGTTATACCAAAGGCATCAACAATGAGTAGTTTAAAGTAAAGGCGAACTAGGTAGGTTCCCAAAAGCAGCTGGCTCACTGGGGATTTCTGAAAGGATTATGCTTTTCTCTCACGTTTCCCAGTGATTTGATGGGGGTTCTCACAAAAGAAAACAAACTAGTAACAATAATTCTTCTAAAAGCCATAAAGTAAAATAAACAAACCCAAAACCCAGGGCGTTACAATGCCAGCTGTGATAATTATCTATGTTTCCCTTATATCACAAAATGAAAACAAAAGAATTTTATCCTGTGACATCTACGTTTCCCTTCTGAAACCTGAGGCAACGGATCTGCTCCAAAGTTTTGTTTTGCTTTAAAAACTGACAGGCCCAGAGCCTTGGAATTCAAAGCTTGCTTCTAATCTCTAGAAACAGATTATAAAATCAAAGAGAAGCCAGGTTGATTCTAAGAATCAATTGCCCTCTGTCTTTGAGGCAAGAGACAGTGGTTTTCTAATCTGGGGAAAGATGTTGAAGCATTTAATCCAACAGGTGAGATGCGTGTTGATCAAGACAAATTTTTACAAAGGTTGAATTCCTTAGGCTCAAAGGAAAAAACAAACAAACAAACAAACAAACAACACACAACAAACCAAAAACAAAACTCAGGAAGAGGGAGGGGGTAACAGGGAGAGGAACACTTTGAGTTTGAAATTGCACCCGAACTTAAAAGTCCAGTTTGTCTTAAAATCGTACAAAAGAGGGGGGAAAAAAAGGGTTGTTTTGATATTAGAAGAATGAAAGCTACAGAAAATACATTGAAAATGACTGCCAGCTCTTCTGACCCCCCATGACCCTCTCTGCCTCATCAGAATGTTAGGTGAGTGATCCAGACAATATTTGAGACACTAGCTTTTCAATTTAGTAAATGGAAGTTCGGCAGATGAAAAGGCCTCAGACAGAAACTCTTAAGAATGCTGCCAAATAATTCTCTACCTTAGAAGGGTCATTAAATATTAAAAATGCTGAAACAAGGAGCTGAAGCATGAAAAGTACCAGGCTCAGACAGCTCCAGAAGAGCGGGGAGGCAAATATGCAACTCACCTGTGGGTTTGTATTTTTTTTTTTTTCACCTGTGCAAGTTGCCCCAAAGCAATTCTTGTGGAGGAGGGCGAGGGTGGGCTGGAGGGGTGGGGCCTCCTGGACCCTGGTTCCAGGGAGACAGGAGAATCCACGGTTTGGACAAGCCTTACATTCTTTTATATACCTCAGCCCCTACCTCACCTTCCTCCTAACCACTGTTCTGGAAACCCAAGGCAACATATTTGAATTCTAATACCGATTGCCAAGATTACCTGAGTTGTGCCGGGAGCTCACCAAACAATGGATCAAGCAAAAATAATACTATTTGCCCGGTTCTCAGCAATTTTGTATGGTGAAATTCAATGAAGACATACACAGAACTCTGGAATTTCATGCCTGAAGTGCAAACGTTCTTTAGAAACTGCTGTCTGTCCTAGGATGGAAGATTTCTTTTACTCATAACCATGGCAACAGAGGTAACCTTATAGGGACTGGGCAAGCTAACACTTGAGAGAGGGATCTCCTCAGAGAGAGGTAATGGGATCCACCGTAGGTTTCCATGACTGTCAGGGATAAACAAAGAGGAGCAGAGAAGAGAGTCAGGTGACATGGCTGAATGCACAAGGGTGATATGAAACAGTACCAAGTCTTGGTGCTCTACTGTCATGGCTAATTTAGCTGCTTTACGAATCCAGTCCCTAGGTCACTAGGTTCAGGTTCTGTGTCGGACATCTTTTTTTTGTCCTTGGCTTGTTAGCTCAGTGGACCAAAACATCTTGCTAACGAGGTAAATGCTAGGTTTTGATTCACAAGTAGAAGAGAATAAAAGATAGTTTTACAATCTGAAAGGGAATTTAGTGAAAATATGACCTATTATTTTACAGATGATGGCACTGAGCATCGGGGACATGATGTGTGCTCCCCAACCCCAGAGCCTCGACTGTGACTCTGGGCTTCTCGTCCAGTGCTCTTTCCATTCGGCCATTTTCTGACTCCAGTGCAAATCTCTCACCAGGAATCTTCCAAAGGCATGCTTTTGATAAAAACTGGAATCAGATAAGACCGAAAAATGATTCCAAATGCCACCTTTTCTGTTGATGGGATGGTAAGTTATCATCAAACACAAACACCTAAAATGGAAAAATTATTTCTGAAGACCCAACTCCTTTTTCTGTATTGATGTAGTACTTCTTGGAAACTTATTCTGAACAACAATAGACACAAATCACTTGCTCACAAATACTTAGGATGTGGAACTACTTGACAAAGGGCTGGGGGAAGTCAGCCTGTTTGCAAGTGTATCACTAATAATCTAGCTATTCTAGGGTTAAGTCTATTAAAAAAGGTAGCTTATAGAACACCAACAAATAAATGTGTAAGAAATGAGAGGAAAAGAAAATTAGCATTTATAGTCATTGTAGTACTAATTATGCAGGCAATTGTTTTCAATAAATAAAAACTATTGCATAAAAGTTTGGTGAGAAACAGTTTAGGGTATCTATATAATCACAAAATATCTCTCTATGGGGAAATTTAATGATAAGGGGGAAAATGCCAACTTTTTAATGGAAAAACCTCACAGTAAAAAAAAAATCTTTTAAGATTTATTTATTTATTTTAGAGAGAGAGACATGTGCAGGAAAGAGGGGCAGAGGGAGAATGAAACCCAAGCAGACTCTGAGCAGAGCCCAATGCAGGGCTCGATCCCACGATCATGAGATCACAACCTGAGCCAAAACCACAAGTGGGTCGCCCAACCGAATGCCCCACCTGGGTGCTCCAGACAAAGTTTTAATCAAGTGATAAGATATCACCAATAACTGGACAGACCAGCATCATGTGCCTCCAGAAAGTATTCATTGAGAAGGATACAACTTCACTTATATACATGGACGTGTTGGTAAATGGAAACGTTTCACAACCAAAACTTGGAGGAGGGGAGATGATCCCTCATTTGTAGCATCTGTTGGTGTCCATGGTGCAAATACTCCCACCACGGCTGATTTCAAACTACCAATATGACCTCACAGAACATGCTACTGGGAAGCCATGTGAGAATCGGCTCTCACTGCTGGTACCAACCGGCTGGTTCCCACTGGGTAGTAACTCAGCCAAAAACACATCTCTAGATCTAATTGTGAGGAAGCATGAGACAAACCCAAAGAGAGGGTCATTCTATAAAATATCTGGCCCATACTCTTCAAAATGTTGATAGGATGAATGCGAAAGAAAGGCTGAAGAACTGTTTCCAAGGAAAGGAGACTAAGCAGTCACAACAACACAGTGTATCACCTTGTATCAAGAGGACAGGTTGGTACAAAGGGCATTATTGGGACAACTGGAAAGTACGGTATGCAACAGTATAGGTTCAATATTAACTGTTCTAAATGTGATCATTGTAACACGGTTGTATAAGGGATGTCTTTGATCTTAAGCACTATACAATGAATTATTTAAGGATGAACAGTATAACTTACTCTTAAATGATTCAGAAAAAAAAATTATACATCCACAGGCAGGAAGAGGGAGTGCAAATGTAGCAAAATATTAATGACTGGTGAATTTGGTTTGAAGGACATACCCCATTTTTTGTGCCATTCTTTTTTTTTTTTTTTTTTTTAGATTTTATTTATTTATTTGACAGAGAGA